TTTAGCTGTGTAATCAATAGGTGCCTATTTATTTTTAAATCAAAGAAATTTGGTGTCAAAAAAACAAATTCCTTTGTTTATGTTTTCAAAAAACACCAAAACAAAAAAACTTTGTAATCAAATCAACAAAGCAAGTCTTTATCACCACGTTAACGTTGTCAATAATCCTTCAGCTTTCTTCACAGAGCACAATGTTCTTGTTATGCACCAAGAAAAGTCTGGACCAAACAACGACCAAACATTATTTGTTTTATAATTATTATAACATTTTATTGTTACAAAATAATTGAACAACAAAAAAATATTTACAAATTTATTTTTCTTTAATTTTGGCATGAGGCTATTTGTCAAATTATAAAAATTAAATTACATCCAAATAAGTTGTTTGTTCAATTGATTTATTAATATTATATTATCACAATGGGTGTTCAAATTATTATTTTATATAATGTTAATAGAGTAATTAAAATAACATTTATTATTAAACCATACAAAAAATATTAAAAAATATTAAAAAAACGTAAATAATCAATTCAAGTGGGAATTTACTGTTTGAACAATTTCTCAAAAATGTAGACTTTAAAACATCAAAAAACTTATTTGTATTGTTCTGATATGCAATTAAAACTTGTGTATTATTCAATTGATGGATAGATATTATTATTTTATTATGATTTTTGTTTTATTTTTTTCGTATTTAAAAAATGTAATAAAAATTAGAATAATGCCATTTTGTTGTTTTTGATGTTTTATTTATGTTTTGTTGTTAATCCACAATCCTAAGGTTAATAACAAAAAATAAATCATTTTGTTGAGAATTCACACAACAAAGATTATCCAATTGCAACATATATCAACACAAAAGTTGTTATTTGCAACTCATAAACTCAAGCATATCACAAAATATAATGAAAGTTTGAGCAACAATTTTTCTAAATGACACGAAACCAGAATTGTTTTATTGTCCATTGCAGGGTAATCCAAACCGTAACAATTTGTGCACTGCGTGGCATTTTTGTGACGTGGCAAACCAAAAAGACAAAAATAATAATTTCTTTTTTTTTTCTTTCTGATTTACAATTTTTTGCTCGGTGGGAAACAATGAGAAATTGAAAATAATATAAAAATTAATTGTTTTAGAGTAAATTATAACGGAAATAAATTTTATTAATGAATACTTGTTGGATAGTCAAGTATGTGACATAGAATGGTGATGAATAAATAATTCATGTGGATGACCACTATAATTTATTTTATCTAACAAGACAATTGAGTGTTACAATGTTAAAATTTGGTCAATCGATTCCGAGGTATAATAAAATAACAATGACAAGATGACCACTTTAATTTATGTGGCCCCTAAGTTATTTATTTAACCAGACAGTTGGGTGTTATACAGTTGAATTCTTTATACTAATAACAGACATTGAAAAATATAAACTAATACAAAACATAATTAATAAAAAATATATTATAACTCAAAAAATTTGACATGTTTGGAATCGGATCCACAGCTAAACAGGTAATAAAAAGTATTTTTTTATATAAAATAATTAACCTTCGCACTTTTTGGAATATAATAAAAAACAATTGACTCGTGTTAAATGATTTATATCGTTAATAAAAACTATACAATTGATAATAGATGGAATAAAGTTCGAGAACATAAAATAAATAAGGAGACGAATAAAGACGTAAAAAGCGTGATTTGCAACTTTAAGATAACAATATTCACATTATATTAATTAAATAATCCGATTATTGGCATTTAGTTATTATAAATTAAAACATATATTTTAATAACTATAATTTTATATTATTTTTAAGAATTAAAAATTAAATAAAAAATTTAAGAATTTAATGAAAAAAAGAAAAAACAAAATAATTATTAGTAATTGTTATTCGAAAATGCTGAAAAACACAAATTTTTATATTATCATGCTTATTTTTTATTTTTCTTTGCCAAAAAACTGCTCTATTTATATCGGCCAATTCCATCCTGGTTTGGCACACCCTGTCCATTGTCAATTTGTGTATAAATTAGCTGTCTTTAGAGCTTCTTAAAAGATCAATTTGTCATATTGTATTTTCATTATTTTAATTAAATAATAAAAAAATTAATTATTTATATTTTAATTATTAATTTATTTTAATATGTACCAATTTTTGATTTTCAAAATAACAACCAGCACCATTTTTGAATTATTGTTTTTAAAAATTTACTATTAGATATAAAATTATTATGATTAAATTAACTATATTTGATAAAACAATCACAGAATTCAAGCTTCTTATAAGGCTGGCTCGAAAGGCTGTATTTATTGTTGTGTTTATTACGATGTATTTTTTTATAGTTTTTTTAATTTATTAATTTAATAATCTGTTACATTCGTTTTAAAATTCCAATTTAAAAACAATCATTTAAACAAAATGTTAATTAAAAAGATGTGCTAATTTCGAAGTAAAAACTGTGAAATATATTGTGTATGTTAATTTTTTTCAATCTTGTATCAACCATGCTAATTATTTCTTTGTGGATGAAGAAAATAGTTTTTAATCTCTTTTTCTTCATTAGAGTCATCTTTAAATGTTATCTAGTGGACAAAAAATATCTTTAATTTTGTCTAAACATCGGGCATTAGGTAAAGAGTGAAAAAACATATAACAATTAGGGATAAATTTTTGGAACGGCTTTCCGAAATATTAAATTTATGGTCCAAAAGGTACCAGATAACGTTTAAAGACAGACTGTATCAAATTTTATCAATTTATGCTTAATATATATATAGTTTTAAATGTGTTTTAATTACACATTTATTTGTTAGTTTATGATTAATATTTTAAATTAAAAAAATGGAAAACAAAAAATAGTTGGTAAAATTTGTTTAAAATTTTATTATATTTTAATAAATGAAGACATAGTTTTGTATTTTTCGACTTTTTGCACAAAATTATTAACTTTGTTTTAAAAAGTCTTAATTGTTGACAAAAAGAAAATAAAAAAAGTCGAAGGATTTATATTTATAGAATAAATAAAAACCTTTTTTCAGTTGTAAATTTTTATTTTAAAAACCAATTTAAAAATTGAGTATTTTTTTTATATTAATTCAATAAAATTTAAATTAACTTTGTTTTTTGGAAAAAACAAATTACATTTTACTTTTAATTAATAAAACAACACCCAAATTAATTTAAATTAGTGTTTGTATTATTAAATTAATATAATAACACATGAAATCATTTGATATTATTCAATAAGGAAATAAACAAAGTGTTTAAAAACTTTCAGACAATTTCAATTTAATGGTTTATACTACAATCCTGTTTTAATAGACATTTTATCAGTAATATTATAATATTTATTATAAATAGTTTGTCTTTTCTATAAACACTCTGATTTAAATTTATTTAATTTTTTTTCAATATTTAAAGTACTGTTTTTAACATTTCAAAAACCAGATGTTATTTTTCCTCATCATCTTACTTTCCATCGAGGATTCCAATGGCTCACTTCTGGATTATGTCAATGTCTACGTTGGTACTCAGAACACGCGTACAATGAGCAGAGGTAATTTATATCCATGTATAGGTAGTCCTTTTGGTCCGCATTGTTTTACTTTTCAAACTGAAAGTCGATATGATGGATGGATTTACAGACACGGCAGTACTATCAATGAACTTAGATTTACACATTGCCCTTCTCCATGGATCCGAGACTACAACAACTTCTTCCTCTCTTTTAACAAAGCAATTCGTGTTGATTCTGCAACACCGGCGTACACTTCTTTTCATTTGCAAGGTGTTGATACTGTTACATGTGAATTAACAGGAAGAAAGAATGTATACAAGCTCAGAGTGAACACTACTGTACCCATCGCTTTTGATATCTCAATTAGTGGAATAAAAAGTGTAGAACGACCTGGTAACTCCGATCAAACCTTTGTGAAATATGCAAATGAAAATGCACCTTATAATTTTGACTTGAAAATGGTAATTCAATCAAGTGGAGTCAAACCAATTTACAGAGATGGCAATAAACTCACATTTTCTTTTACTTCCAACACTACCTTCACTTTTGGATTCAGTTATTTAGCTATCATAGACGCTTTGGGGTATGCACGGGAGTATCCTGATTTTTCCAAATTAAAGACGGCAGCCGAAGAGATGTGGGAAAAGACTTTATCAAAAGTTGTAGTCGAGATGGACACTGAGATTCAAAAGAAAACGTTTTATTCCAATTTCTATCGATTTGCGTTATATCCACATGACATAACAGAGAAGGGGAAGTACTTGTCACCATTCTCTGGAGTCATTAAGACTGGGGGCTTTGCAACAGATATAGGGTTTTGGGATGTAAGTCGGGCTCAAGTGCCTTTAGTGACTTTAGTGTCTCCAGAGACAGCAAACAACCTTGCACTTGGGTTAGTCGATGCTTTTGTACAAAGTGGATTTATCCCACAGTGGGCGTCTCCCCATACAAGAGAATGTATGATAGGAAATCATGCAGACTGCGCCATTGCACAAGCGTTAATAACTAATACAACTGTGTTGGACGTCCAAAACGCATTAAAAGCAATTCGAGGAGACAAGCGCCAATACACCGAATCAGCCGGTCGTGATGGGGTGCACTTTTTTGATACATTTGGATATGTTGTACCTAACATTAAGTACAGTGTGTCTAAAACATTGGATTATGCTATGAACGACTACTGCGGATACCAAATTGCAAAATTGGCTGGAAATGAAAAGGAAATGAAACGACTGAAGAGGCAAGCAATGAACTACCAATTTGTATATGAACCCGAGTCACACTTTTTTAAGAAGAAAATGGTGAATGGACAATTTGATGGATTGGACCCATTTAGGTGGGAAGATGGGTATATAGAGGGGAGTTCGTTCTCATACCGCTTCAGTGGGCAACAAGACATCACTGGGATGATCAACTTATTTGGGAAGAAACGGTTTGATGCTGCTTTGCATGAGATGCTGAAACTTCCAAACTACTTTAACACAGGTGGAACGAACAATTTGAATAACGCGATGGCTGAAATGAAGTTGTTTGATATGGGACAATACGCCCATGGGAATGAACCATCCCATCATATTTTGTCACTCTTTAGAGTTAGTGAAAATACAACTATTGTAGAAATAGGAGAACGCGCAATACAAAAGGTGATGAATGTGTTGTATAATCCAACAGCAGAAGGGTATTGTGGGGATGAAGATAACGGACAAATGTCGGCGTGGTATCTCTTCAATGCACTTGGGTTTTATAGCACAATGCCATCATCGGGGGAGTATATCATCGGTACTCCTTTAGTGAATACAGCACAACTCAATTGGGGGGATCGAAGTGGGTCAATTAAAGTGACCAGAATTTCTCGTGCAGAGACATCCGACAAACCATTGAATTATAATAATGTAACTATACATGTGCAGAAAGTGTATGTCAATGGAATTCGATGGACGAAATTGTATTTCACACATCAAGTGTTGACGAGTGGATCTCATATCGAATTTATTGTTGGGGATTCAAGCAACAAAAGGAAGCTAATAATGAGTGACTTACCAACATCAATATCAGAGCCGTTTGAGTATAAAAGTGTGTTCCATACACTGGAAAGAATCAAAGTATTTATCATATAACATATCGCTTGTGTTTTCTGTTCTTAAATAACAACTAAAAAAAATACTTACAAAAACCATATTTGAGTGTGCTTCCAACTCTCAACACGTAGCGCGATTTCATCAATTTGAATCACTCGGTCCTGTTGACTGACCCAACACGAAAGTAATAAATCTTGACAACATTGAGGAATTTCTTTTCCTAACTTGGGGCGAACACCTGATATGATCATTTTTCGTATGTCTTCGACATTGTCCGTCTCACCAAACGGAATTTTGGTCATCACGACTTCCCACATGATAATTGCAAAACTATAGATATCACTTTTGGTACTGATGTCACCAAATTGTAACACTTCTGGCGCACTCCATGGGACATCTTTACACTTCACTTCTTCTCCACATTTCCGCATCCCAAAGTCTCCTATTTTAATCGAATAATTTTGACTCACCATGAGATTTCGAGACGTTAAGTTCCCATGGACTAAAACGGGAGAACAACTGTGAAGAAACTCTAACCCTTTGGAAGCATCTCCTAACATCCTCAATTTAGTTGCTATAGTGACGCCTTTTAATGAAGAGTGCAATACATCAAACAACGACTTTTTACTGAAATACTCCATCGCGACACATAACCGATTGTCTTCATACCAAAACCCTAAGTACTGGACAGTACACGGATGCCGAGAAGACATCATCCGCTTGACTACTTCCTCCTTCATACACACATCCCCCTCACTTATTAAAACTTTCTTGACAGCTAGTTCAACCCCTTTCCAATTACCGTGCCACACTGTTTGATGTTCTAATGTACTTATTCGCTCTTTCAAGAATACATCAGACGCCGTGATACCACCACGAAAACTCTTCCCCTTTCCTCGCCGGAATATTTGAACACCCAACACGACCACCCCAATTATCAAAAAGAGAGCCACAACACCGACAAACACTAACAGTGTCACTTTGCCATATTGAAAATCGGTTTTCCACTCAAGAGAAATCGACCCCGAGGAGTCTTGCCCATTCAAGTAGACAGTGATGGTGACTTTGTCTCCGCTCTTCGTCGGATCGTACAAACACAAGACACAGTCCTCATTCAAGTATATTCCACCCACTGTTGTATTCATACCATTTGACGATATCACACATTCGATATTCTCCGATGAAACAACACCACTCCCACATACCTCAATCTGTTGGTTCTTCCCTGACTCGTCTTGGTACATTCTCGCACTTGAAAATATCGTGTTGTAATATTGATATGAAAAATGTGCGAGGTCTCGCGTGGGGTACCTCTTACTGTACAATTTCACAACAACGCTGTCCGCATGCTCATAAGGTGGAGAGATGCATTGTGCCTTTTGTTCTGAAATTCGAATAAACTCGCCTTGTGTAGCGTTAAAGTAGCATTCAAATTGGTCGTCAAAGAAGTTGGATCCAGTGATAGCAATAACAGTGTTTCCGTTGATCGGCCCGAGTGGCGGCGACACGGAAATGATATCTGGTGTTTCGATTGACAAAAACTGTGTGATTTTAATACCAGAGAAGCATATGATATTACCTAGTGGTTTGAGTGTTATAATAGTCCCGACTTGGCCATATGTGGGTGAACAAATGAACTTTTCAGTGTATACACAGTCAGCGCAGATATCATTTGCATAGTCCGGATTCAAGAAAAAGCGAACTGGTTCGGAAGAGCCCATATTAACTTGGAGATAAGTTGGCAACCCATAATCGTCGAGGGTGTGAGAGTAGTTTAATGTGAGTTCATAGATTGCCATAGTAATATCCCGAGGTATACTTTCTAGTAGTTTAATATTAATTTCTGAAGTCTCGTTGGTACAGAGAGTGGGTTTTGAATCGAATTGAATTGTTTCGTTGAAAGGCATTACACACTCATCGCATTTGTACTGAGCTACCTACGTTGTCAGTTTGTTTCTTTTAAAATATAAAGAACAAACGAAGTCGACAAAAGTGTCGTTCGTCAAAATGACAAAGCCTGCTGATGTAAAAGTGACCAGCAAAGCTAAAAACATCAAATAAATAATCAAGTTACGTTGTTGTTTTTTCTTATTTTGTAACTAATCGA